CAGAGTGGTTGCCTCTGCCACGTAGGGTGTTGTCACGGGTGGAACATATGAAGTGGTTATCTCTGGCACATGAGATGTGGTTACCTCTGGCACATAGGGTGTGGTTACTTCTGGCACATAGGGTGTGGACACTAGTGGAACATATGGAGTGGTTGCCTCTGCCACAAAGGGTGTCGTCACTGGTGGAACATATGGAGTGGTTACCTCTGGCACATGACGTGTGGTTACCTCTGGTGCAGATGGTGTGGACACTGGTGGAACATATGAAGTGGTTACCTCTGGCACATGAGATGTGGTTACCTCTGACACATAAGGTGTGGACACTAGTGAAACATATGAAGTGGTTGGCTCTGCCACGTAGGGTGTGGACACTAATGGAACATATGAAGTGGTTGCCTCTGCCACGTAGGGTGTGGACACTAGTGGAACATATGAAGTGGTTGGCTCTGCCACGTAGGGTGTTGTCACTGGTGGAACATATGGAGTGGTTACCTCTGGTACATAGGGCGAGGTTACTTCTGGCACATAGGGTGTGGACACTAGTGGAACATATGGAGTGGTTGCCTCTGCCACGTAGGGTGTTGTCACTGACGGAACATATGAAGTGGTTACCTCTGGCACATGAGATGTGGTTACCTCTGGTACATAGGGCGTGGTTACTTCTGGCACAAAGGGTGTGGACACTAGTGGAACATATGGAGTGGTTGCCTCTGCCACGTAGGGTGTTGTCACAGGTGGAACATATGGAGTGGTTACCTCTGGCACATGAGATGTGGTTACCTCCGGTACATAGGGTGTTGTTACTTCTGGCACATGGGGTGTGGACACTAGTTGAACATATGGAGTGGTTGCCTCTGCCACAAAGGGTGTTGTCACTGATGGAACATATGGTGTGGTTACCTCTGGCACATGAGTTGTGGTTACCCCTGGTGCAGAGGGTGTGGACACTAGTGGAACATATGAAGTGGTTGCCTCTGCCACAAAGGGTGTTGTCACAGGTGGAACATATGGAGTGGTTGCCTCTGCCACAAAGGGTGTTGTCACTGGTGGAACATATGGAGTGGTTACCTCTGGCACATGTCGTGTGTTTACCTCTGGTGCAGAGGGTGTGGACACTGGTGGAACATATGAAGTGGTTACCTCTGGCACACGAGATGTGGTTACCTCTAGTG